CCCCCCCCCCCCCCTTATTATGCAACGATGCGACGATACGACGATGCTGGGAAAAACCAAAAGACCAAAAGACCTCAAAACCACCCTCTTCGCAAGACGTGAGTGTCGCGTGTTCGGCACGAGACGGAAGTAGGGGTAGACACGCCAGGTGTGCGTGCGTGACGTGGTCGTCTCGTCAAAAGGAGCAGATTCCGCCGCCCTCGTCGTCCATGGTCCACGTGCCCGCCAGGCCCTTGACGTCGACGTCGGTCTCGACGGCGCCCCTGTCGGCCCCGGAGAAGACGGGGTCGGCCTGGTGCTCGGCCTTGAGGCGCGCGCGCATGAAGCGCCTGGTCCACTCCTCGACGGCCGGCTCGCCCGTCTCGTCGCGGGCCTGCTTGAGGAAGGGGATGAGCGCGGTGCCGCCGGTGCCCGTCCGCGCCTCGCGCGAGGGCGTGATGATGTACCGCGTCACGATGGCGATGTGCTTGTCGCGGAAGGCGCTGAGCATGGCGAGGCAGGCGTCGTAGGCGAGGCACAGCTGCCGGTTCGACCTGTTGTCCTGCACGAACTGGCGCACGTTGGCGACGCGCGAGACGTCGGCGAGGAAGCGCGCGTGCGGGCCCGGCATGTACCGCCGCATCTCTTGGATGAAGTTGTTCCTGTTCCTGTTCCGGGGGGCGTCTGGATCCGGCTCCGGCTCCGGCTCCGGCTCCGGCTCCGGCGCCGCCGACGACGACGACGACGACGCCGTCTTGTGCCTCTCCCCCGTCGGCAGGTGGTGGATGCCGAGGACAATGTCGAAGAACTGAATCAGGCTGCTCTGCGCGTTGCTCCCGCCGCTGTACTGGCGGTACTTTTCTGTCCCCGTGCCTTGGTCGTACAGGACGCCGTGCGGCAGGCCCGCCTCGGCCATGTTCTTGCTGCCCGCGAGGAAGGGGCGGACGCGGTGGTAGAAGACGGTCGGGTCGCAGCTCTCGGGCATCCTCACCAGGATGTTGGTCAGGTCCGTCAGCCGCTCGGCGAAGCTGACGAGGCAGCGCGTCACCGTCTTTGCGTCGTTTCTTCTCGCCGCCCCGATGGCCGTCAGCATCAGGTCGAGGATGGGCGCGCCGCGGGCCTCGATGGCCACGGAGACGAGGTAGAACCATGACTCGTCGATGGACCCGGTGAAGGTGTTGAGGGTTGCCAGGTTCTCTAGGCTGTCAATCTCCTCGTCCACGAAGACGGGCTTGAAGTTCCACAGGCAGACGGCGGCGTAGGTCGCGACGGGGGGCACCTCCAGGTGGTCGGATATCTCGAGCAGCGGCACGGAAATGGCCTTGGGGAGGCGGTCGGCCGGCGCGTCGCCCCCCCAGATGTATGCGTGGGCCATGAAGCAGAGCAGGGAATACGCCCGGCGCCATTCGGCTTCGTGCTCGAGGCCTATCGAGGACAGGACGGGCAGCCGGTCGACGACGCTGCGCAGTCGACGGGTCAAGACGAGGGCTTGTAGGTTTGCCGCGATGGCCTCCCACTTGTTGTAGTAGGGGTCGGGGAGGTGCGTCAACGGAAGGGTCTCGGGGAGGAAGCCGTGTCTCGGAGACAGGCCGTAATCGGCGAGGACGGGGACGGGAGGCAGCATCTTGCCGGTCCTGGTCGGGGTCGAGGTTGTGGTTGTGGTTGTGGTTGTGGTTGTGACGTGGAAGAGCGAAAGCAAAAGGGCTGGCCGCAGTTCCGGCCCCGGTTCCGGTTATGGCCGAGGGAGTCGGAGTGTCTGTTGACCGTGGCCGCGACCTCGGCCTGCGCCCGTCTGCTATCAATTTGGCTCGGCTGCACGGCGAAAACTAGAAGAACGATTTTCCAGAGTCAAGAGATGGTGGCAATGCGACGGTATGCGCTGTCTAGCATGGAGTGCTCCAAGACTGCGCGGGGGAGGGGTATGGCAAGGGGAAGTTATTGACTGTGAAAATCACAATCGATAACTGACAACCTGGACGGCTTATAAATCATGTCCGGGTCGGAGTAACTGATTTTATTTGCCTCGGGGTGGAGCCCCAAACACACACCGCAATCTCATAGGCTACCGAAGATGAAAGGTGCGTTGGAATATTTTTAACCATTGCAAACCAGTTGATCCGTCGGGGACTGGGTCGTATACAGAGTTGCACATTCAAAAAACATCTGCAAGTCCGTAATCACCCCAATAAACAAACAACAGCGCGCCAGAATGTAGATGGCCGTGGCGGTAGACCCAAGACAGGCAGGCACATTTCCCCGCCGCGAGGCGTAATCACAGCCACCAAAAATCTCACCTCGTCCTCACCTTGACCTCACCTTGACCTCATCCCGGCCGCCTCAGCGTCTCCCACTGCATCGCCAAAGCTTCAACCCCGACAAGGTCTGCAGAGTCGTCGAGTCGATACGGATGGCCACCGCTTCGCACTGCTGAGCTTGGGCCCTCCAAGACAGGCCGAGCTCACCCTTCGATTCGAGGCATCGAGCGAGCTCCAGCTTGTGGCTTCTCCCGCCCTACTGCTCAACCCTCACCTCCACAATGCCAGTACAGCAGCATGTTCTCAACTGGCTGTACAGCGTCCTTACCAGCGTATGCATGCTCACCTTTGGTCCAGGTCAACCCTGCTGATGCAGCTCCATAGGAATACCACGACGTCAATCGCACATACAACGATGTCGCCCAAGCATTGACACAGTACCCGACCCTCTCCCCGCGCACCGACGTACATAGTGAGCAACCCCGGTTTCGCCCATGCCTGCGTCAAACCGCTGATAAAATCCCAGCCTTTTCCAACGGCTCCAGCGCGCTTCTGCTTCACATCACCGGAACCATACCCGTCGACTTTCGCGGGAACACATATCGGTTCCCAATTTCAATATGGGTCCCTCACGCCTATCCCCGCGAGCCACCGGTCGTCTATGTCACGCCCACCGAGACCATGATGGTTCGTCCAGGCCAGCATGTTGATCCCCAGGGGCAGGTGTACCACCCCTATCTGGTGGGATGGGCCCAGTTCTGGGATGTGAGTTCGTCACACGGTTGTTGCCGGCTTTCGCATCTGCCTCACGGCGCTGACGAGTTTTGCAGAAATCAAACATCAGAGACTTCATGTCCGTATTATCCGACGTATTTGCCAAAGAGCCTCCGGTTGTGTCCAGGCACGCGGCTCGACAGCAACCGCAGCCTATCCAAGCACCGCCTCCGGTGCCCCCTCTGCCCCCGGAGATGGCACCTCGACCGGTACAAACGGCCCAAGGTTCGACAATTCCGCCTCCGCCTCCGCCAAAAGAAGATCAAACACCCCAACCCTCCCGCAACCCGGCCTTTCCTTCATCAGCACAGAGCGTTCGCACGTCCTCTGTCCCATCCCGATATGAATCGGCGCCCCCACTTCCAACTCAAGCGCCAGCATCACCGCCTACGGCACGACATGCTCAACCCCCGCCGCAGCTCCGACACCTCTCGCAGCAGTATGCGCAACCTCCCACGGACTGCTGGCCTCCTTCACATGGCACGCCTCAGACCGGGCCTTGTTCGCCGCAACAGCTTCCACCACAATGGCAGGCCCAAGGCCCCCCACCGCCCGGATATGCTGCAGCCCCTGGCACAGGAATGCCACCACACATCCAGCAGCCTCCGGTGCAGCAAACTGCTCCTCCGCCTCCGAATATCCTCGACGAACCGCTCACTCTCGACATTCCCGAGGCCACGACCGTGGCGCCTCCCCCGATACCCCCGAATCCCGAAAAGGACAACCTCTTGCGGCAAATCGCCCAGACTCTGTATGTGATTCGACAGCAGTCTCGGCAACAGAATGAATCCACCATGGCAGGGCTTCACGGGCAACGAAACGCCATGCAGAATGCCATGGCTGGCATTCAATCCGAATCGAGCCAGCTGTCCCAGCTCTCCAACGTGCTTACGTCAAACACCGCCATTCTCCACGACGCTTTGCGGAAGGCAGATGCGGTCATTGACGGGTCGAGAAGCCACCCCGCGCCCGACATCGACGAGCTGCTCGTGGCCCCGACCGTCGTGTCCAACCAGCTGTATAATTTGGTGGCGGAGGAGAGGGCCCTCGGAGACGCCATCTTCACGTTGGGCAGGGCCGTTGAACGGGGCCGCATCTCCCCGGCCGTATTTGCAAGGACGACACGATCCCTGGCGAGAGAGTGGTACCTCAAGAAGGCGTTGGTCAGAAAGATAGGCCAAGGCATGGGCATGACGCTGGCACAGCCCTAGCCAAAAAAGGGGGTGTAGCGTAGCCGTATTTCCAAAAGAGAGGGGAAAAAACATAAACATCCGCGTTTTCACGAAACGGTAGCGTCCGCGTGAGGGGCCTTTTACATGTAGCTGAGTAGGCTCTCAATATCGTCCGTCGTGTTTGCCAATGCGGCCCACGCACCACTGCGCTCCATCAGCCTCAGTCTCGCCTCGGCAATCGACTCAAGCCGGTCCCCTCGACCTCTCTACGGAGTGCAACAACAGGCCTCCGCCTCAGCGATAACTGCCAGTTGTCAATTTCGGGCCCCAGGCCCTGCGCGCCTCCCGGGGGCAAGGGTGGGAGGGCGAGGTCTCTTCGTCCTGCGTGGCGGCGGCGCCCCGGTCCACAATGTCTCAGGAACAATACTATAAGAGCGCCACAACTCCAAAGAACAATATCAACGAGCGCCGAGCTGGCCCATCGTCAGCGGGAGGAAGCGTGCGTCCCGCGCTGTCGCAGAAACGCAGCCCCCGTAAACGAAAGGAAGACCACCGTCCAGATATCCCGGTCTCGGACCGTGTTTGCCATGCCTACGCCCGTGGGCGATACACGTCGGTTTTTGCATCTGGAAAGCATACGCGATGGTCACGCTTTTTGTTTGTCTCTCTTCCCAGAAAGGGCTTCTGTGTGGGCACAAGGCGGGCGGATGGTGTGACGGGCCAAGGCAGAGAGGGCCGGGGATATAAAACGTATTCGTCGCAGCCGTTCGCCAACCGGTCGGTATTGTGCAACGGTCTGCTTAGGATTGTCGCGGCGGTATTATTCCCAAGCGCGACCAGCACGACCGGCACGAGACGGCCTTGTTGCGCAGCCGCTCGAACTACAAGTACCGACACACATACACACGAGGTTCGACCTCGTCGTCCAGATCCGACGTCCTCCTCCCCGACCGAAACCAGCCATCTATCTCCAAGTCCCTCCGCCCCCGGCACCATGAGCGGCGCCAACACGGCTTTCAACCCGCTCCTCCAGCCCGTCAGCTTCCTGTCGGCGTCGCAGAGGCCGGTGACGGTGCCGATCCCCAGCATCGACGCCTTCAACGACGAGACCGTCAGCGTGGCCATCAACTACGCCTTCCAGCTGGGCGCCTGCGCGACGCTCCTCGTCGTCGTGCTGCTCATGACGCCGCCGTCCAAGCTGCGCCGCGCCTCGTCCGCCCTCCACGTCGCCGGCCTCGTGGCCTGCATCGTCCGCACGGGCTTCCTCGTCGCCTTCTTCCTCTCGCCCCTGAACCACTTCTACCAGTTCTGGGCGGGCGACTACTCCTCCGTCCCGCGGCGCTTCCTGTACAACAGCGTCGCCGGCACCGTCTTCTCCCTGCTGCTCTTCGTGCTCCTCCAGGCCGCCCTCATGCACCAGGCCTGGACCATGGTCTCCCTGTGGCCCGCGGCCGTCAGGTCCTGCCTCGCCGTCGCCTCGGCCGCCGTCTCCCTCACCGCGGTCGGGTGGCGCCTCGCCTTCGCCGTCGTCCAGACCAGGTCCGCCCTCGACCTCGTGCCCGCCCGCGACCGCGCCTGGGTCGTGCACGCGGCCCTCATCCTCAACGCCCTCTCCATATGCTGGTACTGCGCCCTCTTCAACGTCAAGCTCGTCCTACACCTCGCCGCCAACAGGGGCATTCTCAGGTCGTCCCCGCGCTCCCTGAGCCCCATGGAGGTCCTGGTGGTGACAAACGGCGTCCTCATGGTGATCCCGGGTACGCCCTGCCCTGCCCTGCCCTGCCCGTCCCCGGGCGCAAACGCCGAGCACAAAGAAGAATACTAACGGGTCGGCAGTCGTCTTCGCGGCCCTCGAGTGGGGCCGTTTTCAAAACTTCGAGGCCGCCTCGCTCACACAGACCTCGGTCGCCGTCGTGCTCCCCCTGGGGACGCTTGCCGCCCAGCAAATCACCGCCGGCGGCAGCTTGGCCTACCTTTCCGGCGGGAGCAACAAGTCGGGCAGCCGGTCCAACGGGGGGGAAAAGCCGAATCCTCCCTCGGCGGCGGCGGCGGGATTCAAGGCCGTCAGCACCACCTGTGGCTCTGGCGGCCTTGGCCAGTCGCCGTCGTTGTTTTCGGCCTGTACCGGCCGTGGAGCGCGGCCTCCCGGGATGGACCACTTCGACCTCGAGTTGAGAAAGATCGACTCTGATAGCGCCTTGGCCAATGAGGGGGTGCGCATCGACACCGACTTGGAGCAGAATGAAACAAGAATCTAGGGGGTTCTTTGATTTGCCTCGCGCCCGCGTCGTGGACCGGTCGGTTTTGGCGGAAACGGGCATCTGACCCAGCTTGGCCTTTGGGTCTCTGTAAAATACAGGCTTCGCTTAGAGATTAATGCTGCTTCGACTTGCGAGGGCGGGATGGGGTCTCACACGCTGATTTTCAGCATCAAGTATCAGCAAGGAAGGTCAGTCATTGCATCGAATACCTGGCATGGTTTACGACAAATCAAAAGTCACTTCACTTTAGCCTATACAATGGATATTTCCTATATATATGTGGAAATTAGGTCCTACACTGCATGTGTCTCGGCAACGTCGTAACGTGTAAACGCCCTCTTCTCTGAGCGCATCCCCCAGTCTTTGTTCGACTCAGGCTTGGTGCTTTACAATTACTTGAGACTCGCCATTCAGTTACGCACGATCTTTTCTCACCATCATCCTTTCCCGGCAGAGACTGACCAGTCGTTTCATCTCATTGACTCGCACTGGCTGTGGTTGTTCCAACGCACAATCAGCACGGGCAATGAAGGGAGTATTGCTTCGAGACATCCACCGTCGACCCGAAAGTCTCCAACTTCGACGCCTTTCTTCAGTCTGTATAACTCGAGCGCTCTTGTTTGCCCGGCCCCACTGCCCTGCATAGCTTCCAACCGACACGGAACCTTTCTGTGCTTGCGGCGACGCATCTGATTTCGGGTGCTCACCAGAAGAAGCCTTTGACAGTGTGCCATCTAATCTGCTCTCTTTCTCAGATTTGTTGATGATATCAGTCCAGAACTCCCACTTCTCTGGCAGTGTCGGACGCACCGCTTCCTTGCGTCCGTCGGCAGGCATATTATGGTCCTCACCGTGTCGACTGAATGATCTAGACTCATCTGGAGCCGCATCTTGTCCACATTTTATATCTCGCACTATGGGCTTCTGTCGCCAACGCGCTGGTCCCCAGGAAGCAGATGACTTCCTCCTGGTCTCATCGTTCATTTCAGGCTTAGGTTGACAGGCCACCTGGCAAGAAACCGATCCAGGGATCCAAGCTTTCGGTCGAAGGCTGTGTTTGTTTTTCGCAATTGTCTTGTCCTTGGCAATTAATGATTCAAAATGGCCTATCGTATTTTCAATTTGTGATGGAGCCGAAGAGGTGGGTTGTTTGGGAATTGCCTCTAACTGAGCCACAGCAGCCTCGACATTCATTTCATCATGTGAACGTGCTGGATGGGCCAATTGGCTGGAAGCAGGTTTATATTCGTGCGGTCTCCGTTTTATATGCTTTCTCAACGGAAGCTTGGTCCTGACCTTATTAACTGACTGTGTTGTTTGAAATCCAGCAAACGGAGGCGACTGCTCTGCCGCCCCTTCTTTGCCACTCTTTGTGCGCGCCGATCTGATGGGCGACGCTGGCTTGTCGACCCTATCTTTGTAGATGAGGCTTTTCTGGCTTTCAGGTCGAGATGGTGGCCCTGCTTGGGTTTTTGACATGCCCTCGTTTGCATTCAGAGCCAGACCCTCGTGTTGCGTGTCTGCCGCCTCTCGTGCTTGCAACAGTGCTGAAGCTTCTATTGCTGATGGAATCATTTCACTTTGGTGATGTTCTTGGGTAAATTGCAGACCGCAGGCGGATAACTGATGGGGCCTTACGCTATTCTTTGCGTTTGTGAGTGATGGGTAGCTCGATGATAATGGCAGATATCCGGATAGTCGCTTTGACACGTTTGCTATTTTCGGACAGGACAATACGGCAGCTTGGCTCTGCGTTAGACATGCTGAGGGTGATCGAGCCCGTATCGCTTGCCATCTAGCTGGCAGACGCAGTTTGCCACTTTGACGAGGAGTCTCGTCGAGTGAGCTTTCCGAGGGTGATGTGCCTGCGTTTTGTTAGTCAATACCCATCTCGGGGCTACTCGCAGGTACTCCGATTCTCGTCGAAAATACCTTGGACAGGTCATCACGAACAAGGTTTGGTCGCACCAAGGTTCACTTCAAATATTCTTTTTCTCTCTGCAACCACCGAGGACGTCTTTTCGACCGTCTCCCGCTTCTGGAGTTGCCATCCACGCTGGGCGTCATCGTTCAATGCACCCGAGTCGTGGACTGCCAGGTCCTGGCTTTTGCGCTGGTTTCTCGCAGGCGCATACAAAGACAAAGCTGGTATGGACGACGAGGAGGAAGAGGGCTCCAGGAGACTCGCTGCAGACAAGGCAACGGGCGCTGTTGTTGCCCCTCTCAGGGATAGAGGTCTGGTTGGGCGCGATACACTCTCCAGGCTCTCGAACTTGGAGACCAAATGAGCCAGTCCCCTTCCCGCTCCCATTCTACGCTTCGGTTGCGGTTTGGCGGTACTGATAGCGTCTTGGGACTCGGATTTATCCGTCGTGGTAGCTTCTGTCGTGGACAACAAAGAGCGGATCGGCATTGTTTCCAGAAATATCGTTCATACTTGATGCAGAATGGGTTGGAAGTGTGCGAAAGTATTCTAGGATTCAGCTCGAAGCAATGTGTTTTCCCAGGTTATTGTCAATATTTCTAGAGCGTCGAGAGACGCCTTCCTGGTATGTGGAAATAGATGATGTCCGCCTTTGAGGAGAAGGAGACACATAACCGTAGTTGACAATCACGCTTTCCACAGGTCGCATGAACCCGACGGCGGCTGAGCAGGACCAGCACTCGACGCCACGCCCGCAACGGATGGCCATCAAGCGACACGATTGTATTGATCATTGTTGGGCTTTGTTCCCAAGAAAAGCTGCACCAATGCACAATTATCCCATCCATCACGTCAGTGCCTGAGACTACATCTATTTCTCTTCCCTAACCGTCAAGGCCAAGTGGCCCCCTATCGTACACCCCTTTTGGTCTATTGTACAAGTAGTGGCATGTCGTCCGGCGCCCAATTATACTTGGCGCTTCGATTCCGCAGGTGGTAAATTGTCGAAGTTGTTCATCACTGGCTACTCAAGCAACCTTGTCAGCGTTTGGTCATTACATTCTGGCATCGAAGGTGTGTCCCTTACGGAGGCAGAAGCAGCTCGCCCCAAGGGCTGGCCAGGAAAGTAACAGCAGCCTATGAAGAGTGTCAGAAATGCCAGAGACTGGCGTAAGTACCGAAGACGATGTCGCGGCCAAGACTCACACCGAACATTGCAATACTGCGAACAACAGCGGCGTTTTCAGATGAGGTCAGGGTCTGGTATGTGGAAGCGAAGAAACCCGGGGGGGCGCGACGAGACGAAGGCTTCTCGACGACGATTCTCTTGGGAGCAGGCATAGTGTATGAACTGAGATTGACGGGACGGCGCGTCAAGTCGGTTTGCGTCGACGAGGGTGGCAAATGACAGGATCAAGGCGATTCAAACTGAATGACGATTCGACGGCTAAACTCATTCGAAAATTTCGGGCGCTGGCTCCTTTGTCAACGTAGTGACCGGGGTTGGATCTGGCTGGCCATCCCAGTCCCACTTGCCGTCACATGATTGGCGTCATGATGCAGAGACCCCGAACTGCGCCCAGCCGTGGGTCTGGATACCAAAGTAACGTTATACATGATCATATCGAGAAACATTAAATCCTCGACTTCGTTTGGGACGCAGTAACTTATCTAGTCGATCTATTCTCCACTGCTTGTTCGGCGCAAATTGCTTTGAAGCGTCCATCCTTCCACACAGTTTCATCCTCACATACTAAATCCACTCGCCATCAGGCCTCATCCTTCACCTCACTGCCCTTGGACATCAGCCATACAAGCCAGCTTCTCTTCAAAAAGGCGGGTCATTCAGCAAGGCCTCATGTGTAATGGACGACCAGTCGAACATACCGGAACCCGGGGGTTTCCTGCCTCAGACCGGCCTCCCGTCTCCAGCTCCATCCTCAGCCTCCACCAGGTCCATGGCCGGACTTCCTCACCCGAGAGGACACTCGCTCCGGCCAGGGTCAAGCAAAGAGGACATGGTCCGTCGCTACGTCGAAGACCGCCTCCTCCTCATTTCGCGCCGTCATGTGAAGAAATTCGGCAATCCCAGTCCCGGAGACGAGGTCACCGGGTTCAAATCCTTTGGCGAAGTCGCCAAGGAGCTCGACGGGCTCGTAAACATCCTATGGAAATCCGGAACGCGTGCGTGTCGACTGCTCGCCGCATATGGTGCCCCTTGTAGTTAGATACTAATCGCTTCATGTAGCGTGCTTACAAGTCCCGTTTCTATTGAAACTAGCCAGCGACTTTACGCAGTACGTGCGGTCTTTCCCGCCCTCTCCACGAGCTACATTTGAGCTGCTGCGCAAACTGGACCACTGCTTCGCCAGCCTGCTGCGTGGCCAGGACATGGACACAAACGAGACCTTGCCCGGGTTTGAGAACGGTCTTCGGTCAGGCATGACCACGACCGACATGGTCCGATGTCGTAGCTTGGTGGAGCAGACGAGAGTCTTGATTGTCGACGTCTTGAGCAGCGGCGAGGAGGAGGAGGAGGAGGAGGAGGAGGAGGATGATGACGAGAGTGCGACCGAGGGTGACGCACCATGGGACATTGATGAAGAGAGGCTGCATATGGATGCAGCACGAATATACGAAAATACCATCGTGCAACTGGGTGAGAGGCTGGGCGACCCGCTGGGCAACGATAACAAGATTGATAGTTCTGTAGTGTGCTCAACTAATGATTAGGCTTTAGCATTACGCAGGCTCATGGTGGACATGATTGCACGATTTCCGCCCGGCGGTCAATAATTTTGTGAATGCCATCTAGGATGGCCGGTGAGCAGAGTTTCGAGCAAATTTTATTTGACATGTCGCTAGATGAAGCCATCCATGGTGGTTGATGCACCAAGTTTCAGAGCAAAAAAAAAGGGATTGAAAGGGTTATATATGCAGTACTCATCAGATCTAGCACATACGACCATAGCTGCCAGCAGAGCTCAGAAACCCGTCCGATCTTCCAGGAGAATCTGGCAAGCGCTGGATTAGTAGTTGGGTCGGTGACGACCAGCGAATACCTAGTGTTGTATGTCCTTTTTTTTTTTATCGCTCTTATAGCGGAGGAGCGATTTAAGGGTCTACTTCTCCTGTTTAGCAGTACATTAAGGCACAGTAACAGCTATAATACACGTAAGTTATCTTTAGAAGAATAAGGTTTTATAGTAGTTAGGTTAGTAACAACTAGCAAATACCTAGTGTTATATATTCTTTTTTTTTTGTTGCTCTTATAGCAGAGAAGCAATTTAAGAGTCTACTTCTTCTATTTAGCAGTATATTAAGGCACAGTAATAGCTACAATACACATAAGTTATCTTTAGAAGAATAAGGTTTTATAGTAGTTAGGTTAGTAACAACCAGCAAATACCTAGTATTGTATATTCTTTTTTTTTTGTTGCTCTTATAGCAGAGGAGCAATTTAAGAGTCTACTTCTCTTGTTTAGCAGTACATTAAGGCATAGTAACAGCTATAATATATATAAGTTATCTTTAGAAGAATAAAGTTTTATAGTAGTTAGGTTAGTAATAACTAGCAAATACCTAGTGTTGTATGTCCTTTTTTTTTTGTCGCTCTTATAGCAGAGGAGCAATTTAAGAGTCTACTTCTCCTGTTTAGCAGTACATTAAAGCATAGTAACAGCTACAATATATATAAGTTATCTTTAGAAGAATAAGGTTTTATCTCTCTACTATATTATATAATGCCCTTGCCTATACAGAGGATATAATACGTATATAGCGTTAGAAATATAGCACAAGTTGGAACAAGAATCCAACGTAAATATTGGCAGCGTGATTGATGTTACCGTCTTGTGTACCTGAGTGGATTTGTACAGAATCATTGCGGTATGCGGCTGATATATTGAGGCAGACCGATATTGGCATCAGACTCGTTCTAAGAGAGCATTTGCGCCCAGCCCTCGAGATCCCCCCATCCCAAATCCAACAGACCGGTATCAGCTTCAGTTTCTCACGTGTCTTATAGTTGTCACCCGTATACAACGAATGAAAGGCTGTATTTATCACCGGCAATCTGCGCTCATCAGCTAAGCGGCGCCTAATAAGTCAATCAGAGCAGCAAGACTGTCGTAGGAGAGGTCATCCCCCGCAGCTCCTTCAACACAAGTCGCTTTAACATGTCCAACTGGAATTATAAGCACCTTACACCTGAATATCCCTGTGTAGATAGACCTACGACAAAAGTACAGGCTCACCGCAAATGTGCCGCCAATGACTAGAAAAGCTACCCTTTCGCCCGCTGTTGACATGAGTTGTCGAGCATCCCCCTTTCGTCTTTCATCAACCACCCAAATATGGCTACAGAAAAGAAATTCTCGCGCACTCAACATTCCCTGCAATATCATCAGCCGAAGCGCACGCAACCTGCCAAACATGGCGCCGTTTGAAAGCGCCATGCTGATACAGCTAAAGTTAACACGTATAGTGTTGAGTTGAAATAGACAAGGTGAGTGGCAGTTCCTGACTCTGTGATGCGATCCCTAATACCTTCAGGCACTGTGACCACTTGTGTCGGTGGCATTGATCGCCTCAAAAATGCCTCTAAAGAAGACGTCATGACATTTTTAGAGTGGATGCTAGACTCGTACCGCAGAATACGCAAGAGAAGCACTGTTCGCGCATATAAAGGATTCTCTTCCGAGTTTACCGAGAATGTGTGGTGTAGACCTCAACGCCCAGGCGGATGAGGAGATCAACGATGTGAGAAAAGGCACAGCTGTGAAATGTCTACTTACGTGCACGGCGGTATAGGAATTGCTGCTATGAACTATTCTGATATTGTAATATGAATCGGGGCTTGAGAAGTCTCCAGTACCGAACCAAGCAGGATGAAATCCCATTTTAAAATGACACGCCTGTCATTGACTACGAGGTAAAGGTCTTGGACATGGGCAGCGCAGCGGGCCTGGATCTGCTGGCGCCCGAATTAGGAGTATCCGTCCATGAAACTCTTGACACAAATATTGAGCGGACTTATCAGGCTGTCGTAAATTATTGTTCCGGAAGCACAATGGCCGAAGGTAGTGTGGCCAATTCCAACGAATAACTTTGTCGCTATTCATGTATTGGGACACCCGAGTCCTCCTTGGCTCGTCCCAACCTTGATCGCCATTTCCTAGTCCTGACGTTGTACCCGTAAATCATCCCAGCATTGGTAAGTACAGAATGCCTCCTATGGCCTTTGAGACACCGGAAACAATAATGCATGCAAGTCTTCGCTGCAGCAACAACACACTTCAGATACCCTCAAGCTCCAGGCATTGAATCGTCGTAAAGATCATTCCACCACATGATGTTTTGAAGCTCCTCCTCCCCGATGTTGGCGCGGACATAGTGTTCTCTTTGAGGACATCTAATCTTTCGATGGACTTCCGCAGCTGTATTCCAGCCGAGGTATCCAGCCATTTCCCAGTCAATGAGTCCTACGATCTTGTCGTCGTCAACGATGCAGTTGGATGGCGTGAAATCATTGTGCATAAAGCTCATGTCCCGGTCAATGTTGGCTGAGAAGAGAATGTGCGCCTCTCGGGGATTCAAGCGGCCGTTAGTCAGGATGTTGGGGTCCGGGACGACATGGTCACGGGTCTGACGGTTGCTTGGGGCCTTGACGGCATGCAACTGTCCAAGTATCTCCCGCGCTTGCAGCTTAAGGGATTTCTTTTGGTCCTCGGATAGATACGGAAATGCAACATTGAGACATACGCCGGCGAGTCTCTCTTGGACCAACACGGCGCGACCATTGATCTAAAGGAGTGTAAGTGAGAATCATCTCCAAGCAGTCCGTGGGAGCGGCGTGCCTTGCCAGAAAAATAGACATCCGGCACCCTGACTCCCCTCAGGGCGCTCTTGGCAATAGCAATTGCCTGGACTTCGTTGGCATCGGCGTAGGAGTAGTCGATCTTGGCATGTTGGTGTCGGTGGCTTGATTTGACGATGACGCTGCCAACGGCAAAAACATCGCGACCGTCGTCTGCGGGGAAAATCATGTTTGATTCCGTACAGAGTCCAACCACTGTAGCCCAGTATCGTAGAGACTCTTCAGAGCTGGAGTTGACATGTTGGACCTGGACACGGAAGTCGTCCGGGCTCGGATGGTACCTGCCATAGAGCGGTATATCCGCATACGGATCAGCCTTGGGGATGTGATTTGGGTTCGATATGTAGGGATTCATGGCAAGGCTCGCCGTGTTGATGGACGTGTGTGCGCGTGCGCGTGCCTGTGTGAGAGACCACTACGCGCCGGGGCCTCAAAGTCTGTCCACCGTCAGACACTCAGCATCTGTGACGTGGAAAAGCCTCGACCACATGACTGACTGCCATGCAAAAAAGTTGCCGTGAGCCACCATGGGGCTCGGGCATCCAGGCATCAAGGCACACAAAGAAGCGAGGCAGGTCCATCGTGTATACATAGCCCTCGTTGTTCGGGTCCGTCAGGTTGAAGAATCAAGGACCTTGGAGACGATGCGACATTATATGTGAATGTGAGTCATGTGCTCCAAGCCCTGGTGTCATGACCAGCCCTTGTTGCAGTATCCTCACAACCACACCATTTCATCTACAAGTGTTCACCTTGTAACTACATCTTCACCAGCTACTCCACATATCTTTATCAGATAACACTCCTATCAGAGTCAACATGGCCAATAGATGCTCCGTCTGCCAACGGTGGATCAAGACCACTGGGGGAGCTCACAACTGCCCTGGCAAGTCGACTCATTTGTTGACGAAGAGCATGATGAAGTTCCAATGCTCCATTGAACGACGTGAGTTTTAAACCCACCCCTAAACGACGGCCCGGATCAAAAGTTCCTACGACCGATTGGTTGGCTGACATTTCACCCCGCAGTCCCGTGATGCGAGGCGGCCTGCAGTGTGCACGCGTGCGTCTAAGCTCCTGCCCGCGGGTCAAGTAACCACCACCTTTGCATAAATTGGCATCATCGCCGCTCGTTTTGTTCCTCATCGTTATGCCTCACACTCGAGCACAGTCGGCAGCCCAGAGGGACCGCGTACCTCCGGCTTCAAAGAGTCAGCAGGGTTTGTGTTTCATGGAGCGCCAAACAATATCTCGACTGATGATGAACAGGCAAGCGACCTCGAGGCACTCAAACTCCAGACCGCTTCCAGACCGCACGATCCCGCCTGGGTCCGGCTCAATGCATTGACTGCAGTCAGCCAGATTCATCTTCTATTAAGAGGAGCTCATCTCAACAGGTATTATCGTCCTATAATCATGCGCTGCCTGGACCTGGAAATTGAGTATCACAGGACCTCGTGACGACTGACGGGCGTGTTACGAAACGGCACACTGAGGCTCCTGGTCAGGAGCCAGACTCTGCCCGAAAGCGGCCACGTCGATCGGCTCGATCCTCCCCCGTACAGCAGACTCTGAATAAGGCTGCGACCAACCACGGCGACAACTCTAAGCCGTTCGATCCAGTTGGACACTGGGCAAGAGAAAGCGAATGGCCGCGAGAATACTTCGAAGACGACGACATGGAGCATCTCCTCGCCCGGAAAAAATCCTTACCGTCTCTTAGTCGCGAGCGGTCAGACTCGGCTTCATCGTCGACACCCAGTGATCAGCGGCCGAGGGAAGAAAAGAGCGATCCCTACCGAGATCCGCGCTACGAAACTCTTCTAGGGACCAAAGGCAGCTTCCTAGTCAAGTCCAGTCTTGATATTACCAGCTCAAGTAAAGCGCTCTTAAAAACTCTCCTTGAGGCGCAGCAGGCGGTTCCAGTGGATTCTTTATTCCAAGATGATATTTTTGAAGCTGCTTGTCGAAACATCCACAACAAAAACGAGGCTCGAGTTATTCAAGATATTTCTCGGTTGATAGTTCCATCCGCAGAGAGCCTTGCTATACGTGGCGCCAAACATCTAAACATATTAACAGAGAGCGTCAACGAAGGCTGGAACAACTCTATCCCGTTAACAGGGACTCGTCCTCAACCTGACTACTCTGTAGGATTCAAGCGGGAGGCATTCAATAAAGACCAGCTAGCTAAGCTGTCACCTTTTATTGGCGACTTTATCGGTGGAGATGAGTCTTTTTTTATGGCGACATACTATATGTACTTCCCATTCCTAACATGTGAGGTGAAGTGTGGCGCTATAGCGCTAGATATAGCTGATCGTCAGAATGCCCACAGCATGACTCTAGCAGTACAAGCTATTACTAAGCTCTTCTGTGCTGTAAAGCGCGGAGGCGAGGTTCATCGACAAGTCCTAGGTTTTTCTGTCTCTCACGACTATCGATCAGTAAGAATCTATGGCCACTACCCCATACTAGACGGAGAGGACATAACATACTACCGTCACCCAATTCATACATTTGACCTCACAGCTTTAGATGGCAAGGAAAAGTGGACAGCGTATCGTTTCACAAAAAATGTATATGAGTTGTGGATGCCGAGTCATTTTAAGAGGATATGCTCAGCTATTGACCAATTACCCTTGGAGTTAGATTTGGATGGCTCATCGTTGCTGCCTACAGTCTAAACCTCGGACTTGCATAGCCAGCATCGGCCTCATCGAACATCGACTGGGATTCACTTCCTACTGGGGCTGGTACTCAGTTGAATAAGGGCTGGTAGTAGAGACTAGGGCTTGGAGCAAAGACTCGTGTTAGCGCATGCAATATTGTATAGTTTTGAAGGCTCTCAGTTCTTTACAATACAGGGCTCAACTGATAGAGGCTACATATGCATGAGGATTCTTATCTGTGCAACTTGGCAAGACATATCATAAATATAGTAAGCACAAAAATAGTTTGTGTTACATTTTATGATACATGATATCGGTAGTAGTCCGATACAGCTCCTGGTCTTAGCCTCGTACGCTGAATCTGGGAGATGGACCGCGACGCCGAGTCGCGAGGGATGTCGTATAACCGCTCCACCAGTCCGGCTATGTCCTTTTGATAGTCCTCGTGCATATAGCCGACTTTGCTCCCTCTTGCCTCCTTCCAGTCAGCAAAGGTGCTGCCCATGTGCATTGCTATGAGCAGCTGAAACTCCCTGACATGAGACGATTCAGACAAGCCGAGCACAGTTGTAGGCAGTTCCTGCTCCTGGCTCTTGCCGAGCAGACAATCTACAACGTGCATGGTATGCCTGATGAGCTCTTGGCTGCTGCTATTGCCCGTTTTCTCCGCGTAATACATGGACGGATCCATCACAGTTTGGTTGACCGCGTTCTTCCAGTCCTCTGGCTCAGCTGGGATGAATTTAGCAAAGCCTGGTTTGTTAGAATTCGGGTCAACTCTCGGGGGCGGCGGATCATCAACGCCAGCTGCGACTCCAACAAAGTAGGCCAAGGTAAGGAGACTGGGTAGCTGAGGAGGGTTCTGCCTTAGAACCGAGGAAGCGTCCCTCATGCGCTCCCGCGAGTCTTTGTAAACCCAGGTATCAGGAATGAACCATCCGACAGCCTTGGAGTAGCCGGGATATCGCCCGACTACCTCTTCGGAGTTGAGCTTTTTGATGAAGTCCTCATTGTATTCAGAGAGGGCCCTCTCCATCAAGACGGTCAGGTCTGCACGCACACGCTGCGGCAGCTGTAGTAGGACGGCACGCTGGCGCTTTACAACCTCGCCCTGGGCCCTCTCTTCAATCTGATGGATGGCCTCTTGGACGTCGTGCGAGGCGTTGGAGACAGTCCGGCCGACCGCCTCAAGCCGTCCCATGTAGTCGGCCGCCATGGACCAGATAGCCAGGGCCTCGACGGCGACGGAAGCCTCAAGCTTATCGCGCCAAGCCTTGGAGGCTAAGAAATTGGTCAGGTGCTGGTCGACAAAGGACTGCCACGGATCATCGCGCATTTTCAGGATCTCCTGCACGCTCGGGAGCTTTGGCGGCGCCCGAAAGAACTGCAGCAGAGAGCGGGAGACATGAACAAGAATACCAAGCGGCAGCGAAGCGCCGCCCAGCAAGAGCGCGTCGCCGAGCAGGCATAGGCCCGTGTCGACGGCGACAAGAACCCCCTCGGAGTTGGGGTCGTCGGCTCCGGCTACCAAGTTGGCGGCGCACCCGGCAAGAGGGATGATGGCCGTGACGGCCGCCGCCTTGTCCCAGCCGCTGGATTCGCTCGTGAAGGCATCTACGACGCCGTACGCCCAGGCGGCAACACCGGCCACCGCGAGGCCCTTTGTGGGCACTTTCCAGGCCTCGGAGAGCTTTACGCGTCCGAGTACACTTGTGCGCACCTGGGACAGCTCCATCTTCCACCGGCCTCGGGCGAGCCGCTTGAGCCCGTTCCTTCTCGTCACGGCCGACAAATGCTTCTCCGACAAGGTCTCGGCCAGGGCCATCAGCTCTGTTTCGGCCTTGGCGGCGAGAACGACGGACGGGTGTTCCGAGGCCACGATCTTCTTGAACAAGACCTCCACGCTCTCCCTGGCGTTCTTCAGCTCCTTCCAGGGATGGAGCTTCCACGCCTTGTCGCCTTTAGGAAAGCTCGCCAGCTCTGGCCTGGTGGTGCCGCCCTTCAGCCACTCGGGCAGCGCCTTCCACGAGGTGTTCTCCGTGAACTTGATCTGATCGGTCTTGCCGAGCTGCAGCAGCTCTATCACGTCTTCCGTCAACTCAACCCAGCCCACGACTTGGGAAATGGGAATGCCTTTCATTGCCGCAAACTCCATGTTGCTCCAGTACCTTGGGATACGCAGCGATCTGTTGACGTCGACAAAGGTTGTTGACGGTTCGATCTTGTACACGTAGCCACGGCGGCCCGGGCCATCAGGCAGCGCGTATCTGACGGCCGTGTGAATGTCCGTCGTCGTCGAGACATAGGCGGTGTTTTTGATGTTGCCCCGAACGTGTGACAGCAGGTTGTACTTTTCCATCGTTTCCGGGCCCGGTTAGGGATAGAAGCCAGGTCGCGGCTGACCGTCCACCATATGGCCCATGACGGCCTCGGGCGGCCTCGGGTCGCCTCGGTAGACGAATTCCACCGTCTGTGGCGGCGGCACATGTGCCATTGGCGTGTCGCGGATGTCGCCGAATCCGCGTTTACTTGGTCTTTCTGGTGTGCATTCCCCGGCGAGGCAGTTGAGGCTCGCATGGCAGCTGCTCGAGCCGATGACGCTCAATAAAAGCAATGCGTGAGGTCGCTTGATGAATGTGCCGGGCTCTGTGGGCACCCCGGCGACCTCAATAGAAGACGAAGCAGCAGACGGGGCTGGGGAAGCCTTTTATCTCTTTGTGGTGAGATATCTACCATGGTGATATGGGTGTCTGGCTGCCTCTACACCCTAGTGCACATCAGTACTATATAGTACAGTCGACTTAAGAACGTCTGGTGTTAGCCAACGCCGGCGTCAGAAATCACCAGATTCAGCAATCGCTCCGCCATGAAGCGATGCTTCCGCGGCTCTGACTCATGTTTCGTGATGACCTGGGCGCCGAAATGCGGCCTGCAGGGCCTACCGCGCATGCTTGCTTGCTTATAGCATGGACAGTTTACATTTAAAGCTGCTATAGTTGCAGCGGCTTGACGTTATTAGAAAGACAGCGTAGACACAGGACTATAGCTGCTAGAGCTATGCCTTTTACCTTGGGCTGGTGGGGACCTCTTCGGCTTTCACGGAGACAAGCCAGAGAAATTCTTGTTGAAATACTAATCGTACAAGACGCTGGCATTTCGGGCCGTATAGGTAGAACTTCGCATGGCACCGCATATGTCAATGGCTGTAAAGGTAGCAACGGCGTTGGAGCAAAGTACTCGGACCACGCTCTACTCCATGACACTCGTTGGAGCGAGAACATCAATAGTGAAGTGGGCACTGATCCACCGTCTTCAAATACTTTCGCTCGTATATCGCGGCTTGTCGTGGGACATATTATAATGTGGTAACCAATGAAACGGGGCCTGGGCATGTTTTGTGTCCCGAAATGTAGAAAGCTTCCGGCGTCTCCGAACAGAAAACGTAAACCCGTTATCCACCCGCCATCCCTGAGCCAATGTAGAATAAAGGCTGTTCGACAGGGGGTGGAAGAGCCAAGGCTCGTCGAAGAATTCGAGCAAGTATTGTGTAACAATATAAGCAGACCCTGCTGGCGGGATATACGTATATTCAGCTAGATTAATCACGAGTGGTTTGCAGGCCACAATTACAAGGCGTATCGGCCGAAGGCTGCCGAGGTTTGTTTACCAATGAGACTTGGACAAGACCCCCAAAACCGCGTTCTACTTGTTGCGGCAACACACGATCCCTCAACGCCGACTTGTACAGCTTGCCAACTGTACGAGGAGATGGAAACGGTAAATGCCAGCATGACTGCTCATCACGGGCACGGGCATGCCATGTATCATCAGCTGACGAGTAAGAGTGTACGGAGGCTGTGGTTCGTGAATAACCGAAGGATTGGGCGACATCTCTTCGGAGGCGGTTGCGAAAAGACTCCTTGAGCGACACGACCCCCTCCACGGTATCCCAACAGCCATAGCCAGCGACCGCAGTCCTCAGTTTGTCAGCGACATGTGGAAGCGCTTCTGCCAGCTGCTGCGGATCGCGTATCACCCAGAAACCGACGGCGCGACAGAACGAATGAACCGAGAAGTAGAGGAGATCCTTCGCATATGGACAAACTGCCTTCAAGAGAATTGGCTAGACTTGTTGCCGATAGTCATGGCCACTGTCAACGGAAGAGAGGCGACCTCCACAGGCCTCCGTCTATTCTTCCTCATGCAGGGATACGCCTGGAGATTGGTCCATCTCAACCTGAAAAATGTCAAGACATCGCGGCCTTGTAAGAGCCCGACTGGCTACCACGTGCTCGAGGAGGTCAACCCACATGTCTACAAGTTAGAAGTGCCCGGACGCATGCACCCGGTGTTCCACGTGGATCTACCTCGGCCAGCCCCCGATTACCCCTTGTCTTCGCAGGAAATGCCGTTCTGGCCTGGTCAACTCTGTTCCGAGCGAGGCCTTGGGCATGTAAGTCGGCCTACGGCGTACTAGTTAGCATGTGACACTAGCAGTCTCCGGGTAGCAGCTTGTCCTGCCTTGGTGCAATTCATTCGAGGTGGTTGTTGTAGAAATGGTCTCAGCTTCCTGAGGTGAGGGAGGAAATGTGTGGCACGTGACCAACACGTGGTAACTGCAAATTGCATTCAGGTCAACTTCATCGGTAGACAACAACGCCGCCTCCCCCCTCTCAACCACGCGGCCCGTACCGCTAGGTATGGACGGACGCCTCTGGATGCAAATGAAAGCTGCATCCAATAACAACCTAGAAGCACGTCTGCACGCCTGCGTCCGCGACAAAGACATGTCCAAGCTGCGGGAGCTCCTCCCTCTCCGCCGGACCGGCGAGCTTGACCTCAACCACTGTGACCTAGACTTCGGCTCTGCTCTTCAAGTCGCTGTGCCATGCGTCAACATGACGGCGGCAGGCATCCTCCTTGATGCCGGCGCCAACCCTTGGGCTTTCAATAGTTCTGCTGAGCCGCAAACTTCGGCGCTTGACATGGCGATTCAAACGGGCAACCGTGACATGTTCACCCGTATTTGTGAAAAGATGGCCTCGGGAAGCGATGAAATTTCGCAACAGCGCTATCGCATCCTTCTAGACCGGACAGCCCTCACTGGTCAGGCCGCCATGGTCGAGGATGTCTTGGGTTGGGCTGGTGGCTGGTCGGAAGCTGCCTTGGAGCACGCCCTCGAGAACGCGGTGTCGGCATGGCACGTTGAGGTCGTTCGGCTTCTTTTGGACCGCTTCGATTACTCGCCGCTATGCATCGGCTCATCTCCTCATCTCTCTGCCGGGCGGCCGGCTTCAGGTCGGACCTGCTCGGCCATCCTCGTGCAGAAAGCACAGGTTTGGATTATATGAACCAGCAACAGCTCATCAGCTGCCTTGTCGGTGCAGGGGCCGATCCAAACGGCAACCACGAGGAGCAAATGTAGTCATCAAAGCGGCCACGTGGGTTGACTTGGTGGGAGCTCTCAAGGCACTCCTGGAAAACGGCGCTGACCCTAACCAACGGGGCCATGAACGCGAAACCGCCCTTCACCATCTAGGGTCACCGGTGCACATTAAGAAAGGCCCTAAGCGCTGCTTGCACGAAACTGGGATTCGATTGCTATTAAAACACGGTGCGTCCGTCGTAATCCCGGATGGCCTTGGCAACACGCCACTGCACTACGCTGCGTTTGGATCTAACATGCGCATTTTCCGCCTCTATACCACTGGGCTAGATGTTGACAATTCACACAGTGACGCCTCGAAATCCATCAAGTCCTATAGCAGGGAGACACTTCTTCATTGGGCGGCTGCTGGCAAAAATATTAACACCTTGCGGTCTCTGTTATTGTCTGGTGTGGATGTTAATGCTGCAAACAACAACAGCTGGACCCCCTTAACGTGTGCCTGTCAGGATTAGGGTTCCAAGCAGAGTAGACAAAGGGATTACATAGAGCACTTGCTGCAACTCTATAGATAGTTAGGTTAGTAGCAATAACTATATTAATCTCTAAACCTCCTCTTCTCTTAGCACAAACTCCCCTTCATTATATATATATATAGGTTGCTAGCTGCTATTCTGCAGCTAATTTAGTAGCTGCTGCACTATTGTGTCAGAGTGAATTAGAGGTAAGCTCGCCCTACATGCCCTTAATTACTCAGACGGGCGTTGGGTCTCTAACAGTGCCCTAGCCCCGTCAACCGCAATAGAGACCTCTATGCCGCGTCATTTCAAAACACTGCAGGCGGCAAGACTTCTCCTGGACCATGGAGCCGATCCCCTCGAATCCACAGCCGAGGGTTGGACGCCGCTGCACTGCTTGTCGCTTTAACTGGACGACAGCAACAGCAACAACGACTAAGGAGAACTTGCCAAGGAATTTATTACGAAGGGTATACCAGTTGATGCTCGGGCTACCATGTTAGCTATTCCCACAACCTCTGGTCGCAAATCACTTCGTGTGTCTAATCGGGAGGTTGGCATCTGGGGCTCCCGCGTCGTTGAGCATCTTCAGCCCAACAGCAACGAGTCGCCTGTGATTGCAAGAGATAGAACACCGCTGCACTGGGCCGTGTCCTACGGCGCTGTTGGCCTGGCGAGTGTTCTGCTGGAAAACGGAGCGGACGTGAATGCTGTTGGAGAGGAGAACAATCTGCCAGCTGATCTGGTCAACAGCTCACCAGTTCTACAGACGCAGGCAGAATTACGTGCAAAGCTGACGCAGATTTTGATTGATGCTACAACCTCTCGTCAGGAGCACTCGCAAAAGCAACAGCGGGCCGCATAGGTAACAGATGAGGCTAGATTGAAAGGAAGACTTTTGGGGGGAAAATCAGTACGGGGGCAATAACCAGAAAAGGAATGGGAAAATCCTCAACCTACGAACCCACTAATCTGATGGCCAGTTTAGTCGCGGCGTCCGACCTTAATGTTGCGTAACGTCCTCATTATTCTCACGGCAGGCTGACTGCCCAGCCAGTACGCCATTCAAGCATAGGCCCCGGGACGTTTCCATCTTGAGAGCTGCGATAGTATTGCCAACGGGACAGGTCGGGTTCTCCATGTACTTGCGGATCAGAGCTTGGAACTCGCGGCCCTCTGACGAGCCAGGGTCAGGGTCTTCATCGCGAGGCTTCAGCTTCTTGGGCTCAGTGCAGCAAAGGGCGAGATCGCCGAGGCAGCCATCGCCGCCTTCATCACCAATGGTGAGACCGCTTTCTCGGGTCAACATCAGCTGGTCCGACGAGCACGCCCCTTCGCAGAGGAGTTTTCCATTGCCCGCGTTGAGAAACCCGGCCTTCTTTCGCCACTCACATTTGCCAGAAACATCATAAGGCGGCGGGGATACGCAGCAGAGACTTCTCTTCTAGCCCTCGTCGCACGACTTCATCCCGCCAGAGCCGATACTGCTCGAAGTGAGGAAATGCGGGTTGTGGTTGTTGCCCGTACACGCATCCCTCCCCTTGCTGGTGCACTCGGTCCAGACGCATCTGCTGTACAGAGACGTGACCAAGGTATCGCTGCAGCAAGCTGATTGGTATCCCGAGCGGCAACTCACATCCAGTGAGCGGACTTTAGGCTCAAAATCGTTGCAGCCAGGTTTGCATTTGCCAGTATTTCTATGGCCACGCCAGGTACACGTGGGAGACTCGAAACTCGCCGGGCAGCAAAGCCCTGGTCCACCACGAGTGCCGGTGCGTACGGTCGCACATTAGCTCGCATCTGCAAACGCTGCTACTACAATTTTCTGATTTTCTAATTTTTAGATTTTTTAAAAGTATAAAGTTATATAGAAAAAATTCCTTCTACCTTAATATATAAATTAAACTTTATACTATAATTATTTTAGATTTATATTAAAACTAATTTTATATTATTTCTAAATTATTTCTAAATTATTTCTAAATTATTTCTAAATTATTTCTAAATTATTTCTAAATTATTTCTAAATTATTTCTAAATTATTTCTAAATTATTTCTAAATTATTTCTAAATTATTTCTAAATTATTTCTAAATTATTTCTAAATTATTTCTAAATTATTTCTAAATTATTTCTAAATTATTTCTAAATTATTTCTAAATTATTTCTAAATTATTTCTAAATTATTTCTAAATTATTTCTAAATTATTTCTAAATTATTTCTAAATTATTTCTAAATTATTTCTAAATTATTTCTAAATTATTTCTAAATTATTTCTAAATTATTTCTAAATTATTTCTAAATTATTTCTAAATTATTTCTAAATTATTTCTAAATTATTTCTAAATTATTTCTAAATTATTTCTAAATTATTTCTAAATTATTTCTAAATTATTTCTAAATTATTTCTAAATTATTTCTAAATTATTTCTAAATTATTTCTAAATTATTTCTAAATTATTTCTAAATTATTTCTAAATTATTTCTAAATTATTTTAAAATTAATTTTGAATTAATTCTAAATTATTTTCTACTTTAATATACTAAGACTATATAAATAGCTTAAAAGTCTTAAAGAGACTATTTAATAATTTCTTTAGTATAGTATATTTTATAGAGATATTTTATCTTAAGTTAACAAGCTTCTTAATAAATAAACTATTAGCTTTTAAATATTATAATACTAGCTTTTAGCTTAAAGGCTTAAGTATTTCTAAAGTATATATAAAAAGCTTAAAGCCTTTATATAAAGAGATTTTAAAACTATTTATATAAAAAATACTAATTAAATTAATTTACTACTTTATTAATAAAATTCTTTAGTAATATAATTAGCAACTAGTAAGCTTATATATACTAGAGATATAGCTTTCTTACTAGAGATTAGTATAGCAGTAAAATATATAAATTATAAATTAACTTATTAAGTAAATTTAATTCTACTTCTTTTTCTATAAATATTTTAATTAATTAATTCTTTAGAATTTATAATAATATAATAACCTTTAATATTTATTATATACTATTTATAAAGTTTACTAATAGAATTATATAAAAAAGTATATTTAAATAAAGTAAAAGTAAATTTAAATTCTTTCTAAAGTAATTTAATTTCTTAAAAAGAACTTGAAGTAAATATTAATAATTTATAGATTTAATTATAAATATCTTTAGATTATATAAGCTCTATCTATTATACTTATACTATATATAAAGAGTCTCTTAATTAGCTGATAGTTATAAGCCTAGTTACTGCAAGCTCTATGCTATACACTATACTCTATTAGGAATATACTATTTCTGTTTAAGCTTAGTGCTAAACCTCTAACTAATTAGAATTTAGTATTTAATTAAGCAACCTATATAGAACCTACTTAGAACCTACTTTTCTAAACTTTATTATTATTTAACGAAATTTACATCTATTTACACCTATTTAACTAAGTTTTTATATAACAAGCTATTTACTATAAAAAGGAGCGATTTCTGCACGGAAATCTATATTAATTTACTATATTAATAAAAACGCTATTTAAACCGGCAAAAAACGTCTAAAACGCCTAAAATTACCTAAAATCGTTATTTAACTATTAAAATAGAATCCAACGCTATAAAGGCTTCCTAAAAGGTCACTTTAACCAGCCTAACTAATTAGTATAAATACATTTCTATTATTAAAAAATTCGCTATTAGCTAGGATATTTAGAACTATATTAACTCTAATATTAAGCATACTACTAATAATACTAGGTTTATAAGGCCTAAAGAGCCTAGCTATAAGGATATTAACGCTGTAGCTACGCATATTGCTGACCTTACTAATACAGAGCTTAAAAAGCTAGATATTGCTAGAGCTAGCTATTAAATTTAGCTTTAGCTATATCTAGCTTATCAAAAAGCTATATATAATATATAGAGCTATATTATAAGCACAGTCGGTTACTATTACAATACTATCTCAATAGAATTTAATATAGCTATACAACTAAAGCTATTAAAAGATTAAATTAAGCCTACATCTTAGGATTACAAAAAAGAGGTTCTAGAAACTTATAAAGCCCTATTAAGGGCCCCTAATAGGACTAAAATTAGGACCTAGATTACAAATTACTAAAAAGCCCTTATAAAGGCTATTCAGCTTGATTTACTAGATATAAAAGGCCTAAGGCCTACTATCGACTTTTTATCTGCTATAAATACTATAAATCTAGGCTTTTCTAGCTACTAGAATAACTAGATTTAAGATAAAGCTCAACTAAATAAGCCTAATTAGAAAGATAAAATACCTAATAGCTATAAAATATCGGATTTATTCGAAAAAAATTAACAAAATCAACAGCATTTTAATATAAAGAGCAGTTTTGCGAGCTTTTAAGAGAATTCCAAAGAATCTAT